TTATACTGTAACCATTAGTCCAATCCACCAGCAATAATTTATACTGTAACCATTTCAAACTATTCCATACACAATAATTTAAAATGAAACCATTAAAAATATTCTACACTCAATACTTTTAAGTAAAACTATTTGAAAAAATTCTATTCAGAATACATTTTAAAGTATTGAGTATAGAATTTTTAAAAATGGTTTATTTTAATTTATTTTGGATAGAATCTTTTTTTAAATAGCCTAAGACAATTCAAAAAAAGAATCCGCTCACAATAAATTGAAGTAAACCATTATAAAATATTCTGTACTCAATACTTTTAAGTAAAACTATTTTAAAAAATTCTATGCACAATACATTTTAAAGTATTGAGTATAGAATTTTTAAAAATGGTTTATTTTAATTTATTTTGGATAGAATCTTTTTTTAAATAGCCTAAGACAATTCAAAAAAAGAATCCGCTCACAATAAATTGAAGTAAACCATTATAAAATATTCTGTACTCAATACTTTTAAGTAAAACTATTTTAAAAAATTCTATGCACAATACATTTTAAAGTATTGAGTATAGAAATTTTAAAAAGGGTTTATTTTAATTTATTTTGGATAGAATCTTTTTTTTAAATAGTCTAAGACAATTTAAAAAAAGAATCCGCTCACAATAAATTGAAGTAAACCATTATAAAATATTCTATGCTCAATACTTTTAAGTAAAACTATTTTAAAAAATTCTATGCACAATAAACAAAATATTATTTCAAAATACATTTAAAAAAATAAAAGAAAAGAAACTGGCTTGGGGTATAGTTTTGCCTTCTTTGCCTTTTCCCACCCAGTTGGTCATCAACACCATGTGTGGTCAAGGGATGCAGAGCCTCAGTGACCCCGTAGCCAGCACAGTCATCTACACCAACGGCTGCATCCAGAGGATGGTGGACTGGATGTATAGCAACCTCCTGCTGATCGGGGCAGTGGCCCTGGGCCTCACCCTCCCCCAGGTAAGGAATAAGGCGTTGGAATATAAGAATAAGAATATAAGAATAAGCAATAAGCAATAAGCAATAAACAAGATGAATTAGAAATAGGAATAAGGAATAGGAATTAGGAATAAGGCAGAATAAGCAACAAAAATAAGGAAGGGAGTAGGAGTAAGGAATTAGAATATAAGAATAAGAATACAGAATAAGAATAAGGAATAAACAATAAGCAATAAACCAGATGAATTAGAAATAGGAATAAGGAATACGAATAAGGAATAGGAATAAGGCAGAATAAGCAATAAAAATAAGGAATAGAATAGGGATAAGGAATTAGAATATAAGAATAAGAATATAGAATAAGAATAAGGAATACGAATAAGGAATAGGAATTAGGAATAATGGATAGGAATAAGGAATAAGAATAGAATAAGAAATAAGGAATAGAATAAGGAATAAGGAATAGTAGAATAAGGAATAAGGAATAAGGCAGAATAAGCAATAAAAATAAGAAATGGAATAGGGATAAGGAATTAGAATATAAGAATAAGAATATAGAATAAGAATAAGCAATAAGGAATAAGGAATACTAATAAGTAATAGGAATGGCAGAATAAGCAATAAAAATAAGGAATAAGAATATAGAATAAGGAATAAGGAATACAAATAAGGAATAGGAATTAGGTATAACGCATAGGAATAAGGAATAAGAATGGAATAAGAAATAAGGAATAGAATAAGAATAAGGAATAAGAATAAGGAATAGGAATTAGGAATAATGGATAGGAATAAGGAATAAGAATAGAATAAGAAGTAAGGAATAGAATAAGGAATAAGGAATAGGAATTAGGAATAGGAATAAGGCAGAATAAGCAATAAAAATAAGGAATAGAATAGGAATAAGGAATTAGAATATAAGAATAAGAATACAGAATAAGGAATAAGGAATAGTAGAATAAGGAATAATAGAATAAGGAATAAGAATAAGGGATAGAATAGGAATAAGGAATTAGAATATAAGAATAAGAATATAGAATAAGCAATAAGGAATAAGGAATAGGAATAAGGAATAGGAATTAGGAATAACAGATAAGAATAAGAATAGAATAAGAAAAAAGGAATAAGGAATACGAATAAGGAATAAGGAATAGTAGAATAAGGAATAGTAGAATAAGGAATAGTAGAATAAGGAATAATAGAATAAGGAATAAGAATAAGGGATAGAATAGGAATAAGGAATTAGAATATAAGAATAAGAATATAGAATAAGCAATAAGGAATAAGGAATAGGAATAAGGAATAGGAATTAGGAATAACAGATAAGAATAAGAATAGAATAAGAAAAAAGGAATAAGGAATACGAATAAGGAATAAGGAATAGTAGAATAAGGAATAGTAGAATAAGGAATAGTAGAATAAGGAATAATAGAATAAGGAATAAGAATAAGGGATAGAATAGGAACAGCACAGAAGAACTCCATTCCTTATTGGCCAAGAGTGATGGGACACACAAGGAATTTGTCCCCGGTGCTAAACCTCTCAGTGCTCACATAAGGAGTAAGGACTCTGTTGTAACTTTTCCTAGGTGCAACACACAACAGAGGGTCTTTACGGAGGACTGGTGATCATGGGTGCAGCCCAGTCCAAATTGCACCTGGTCCTCGATGTTACGGCCGTTCCCTTAGGGACCATTCCAACTTAGAATGGACCTCCCTGGGATAATAGGCGAGCCTAGACAATATGGTGCCCCAAATTTCTGTTGCAAAGCGAGAAGTTCGTTCTGCCCCTTGCGGATGAGACAGATTGAACTCATGTTTTGTGTCTTTTTTGTGTTCTTCTTTCCCTGATTCACCGGTGCAGTTGATTGGCATCCTGTTGTCCCAGGTCCTGGTCAGTCAGATCAAAAACCAGATCAAGTTCCTGAGCTACAACCAGCGACATCGGACCGATTACTGGTAGCCAAGGCCAGGCCTCAGAAGGACTCCAACAGCCCCTTGGCTGAGGAGCAGAAAGATGTCCAAGAACTTCCTGCTTGGAG